CCAGAAATAGAAGGTCTTTGGGACCATTTTACTCCACGTGTTGAGAGAATTATTCTGCTATGCGTATTGAGATTACTCTATGCTAGTAGACCAGAATTWTTCTGCTGTGTGTATTGAGATTACTCTACGCCAGTAGACCAGAATAGAATGTGGATACATGTGTGGTGTTGAGTTTTATCTATCTGTWTTATGTTTGAAGAAGAATGTTTTAAATGTTTTAGAATGTGTTTTAGMGCATGTTGAGAAGTTGGCGTAACTAGGTCGCAGGGRATGCAGGRGAATGCCGGGGCGATAAGGGCCAAATCCGGATTCCGAATCCTGGTCCGAATCCTGGACTTGGGAGCGTTGTCTTTTCGGTTTGCCTGTAAAGAAATTGTTGTTACAAATTTGATTTTGAGAAGTTTACTGAGTTTTATGAAATGTATAACGTTGCTCTAGTTTTACTCGAATTTTATGGAATTTTAATGAGAATGATTATTACTTCAGTTTTATGATGTTTGTTTTAAGAGCTGAATTTTCAGTTGTTTATGAAAGGAAGTTGACGACAATATTTTCTTATTAACTTACCACTCACTGAGCTTCTCAGCTCACTGTTTATGTTTTGTTTTCCCCCCAGGCTGTAACTGAGTATCTGAGTTTCTGAGTTTCAAGAAGAATTTAGTTCAGCTTCTGCCACCCCGAGTTATTCAAGAGTTGCATATCTCTTTGTATGTAGTTTAGTTGGTTTGTATGAAATTTTATCTGCATCTTGTTGAGAGGAAAAGAATGTATAGAATGGATGTAAGAATGGTTGTTTGATTAAGATTAATATCTTATTGTGCATCCATTCGGAGTTGTTAGTCAAAGTTCAGGTCAAAGGTAAGAAAGAAGTTGACCACTGACTTCGTAGTTAGTCGGGGTCTGTGGTCGGCGCGACTCGTTCTAGGACTAGTAGGTGTTTGGGACGGGTCGTGTCAGTACATCATATACTTCATTTTGTCAATATATCGAGGTTCTAACTAGTTTACTTTCAGTCACAATACGTCGATAGTGCATCGGCGACGGACGAGGTCGTACCAGACCAATCACAGCATGTAGACTCGGACGAAATACGTCTCATATCACAACCATTGCCACGTCCCAAAATTCAGTGACCACATCGGGAAAGGAGAGTACCATGGAAGTTGCGTGCGTCGGTTGAAGTGAAGGTGGACGAAAAACGACATAAGGTCATACAATACAATCCAGTTGTGGATATTCCAAAAGAGGAGGATGACAAATTTCAGGTCTGGCTAGATGACGATGACAGACGTTCAACGCGAAAGACCGCATACTCCATCAGGAATAAGGCCTGGTTCCGCAACCTATTGAGGCCAGGTAACTGGTGCACAACCGAGGTAAGTGGTCATTAACCACACTAAATGTAGTAAATATGTATACGTTCATGTTTATAAATTGGGTACTATTCATAGGTCGTCGATGAGCTGTTCATGTTAGTGCGGAAGAAGCTTGAGCAGCGGCCTGACCTGTGTTCTCGGAAGTTCACAACTGGCGATCTAGTTCTTGCGGTACGTGTGTTCATGCTTATCCACTAACTTCAAATTGGTCATAGTGCATAGGTTGATGACTCATTGAGTTAAGTTTGACGTTACAGAACTACTTCAGACGTAAGGATGGTCTATATGCATGCATGCAATCTGATAGTTCATTGCCTTCAAAAGTAGCGGCCGAGTACGATTGGGACGGGAGGGACAAGAGCATCATGGGTTATACTGACGGCACTCATATGGACTACCCTTTGAGGTGGATGGAAGTGGACGTCATATATCTCCCATTTAACATCAGGGGCAAGCACTGGGTAATGGTATGTATCGACCTCGAGGAAGGCGAAATCGTAGTATGGGACTCCTTGACTTTAATGACCACGAATCATGCTATGGAGGATCATTTGAAGGTAAATGCGCACCATCATCCCAGTAATGCTCTTCAAATGTGATGTTATGAAAGTCCGACCCAATCTACCGATCCAACCATGGCGGATTCGACGAGTTACGTCAGCACCACAGCAGATTGGCGGTGGCGACTGTGGGATTTTCTGCGTCAAGTATTTTGAGTACGATGTAACCGAGTCCGCATTGGATACTCTAACACAGTCTAGGATCGCATACTTTAGGAGGCAACTTGCTTTTCAACTTTGGGTGAATAGACCTATTTTTTGATATTCCATTAGAATTGTTTTCTTATTTTGTACGTAACTTAGTTAAATTTGATAATACAAATGAATTTAAGTATATTAACTATGATTTAACAGGGACTCGTTTAGATACATTGAGACAAAACATCAATTATTAATGGAGTTTAGGACCAATATTAGGATCATTCTAATCTTTATTTATGAATAACATTGTATTTTACGGTCGAGGTAAGCTGGTTCACGCTCGAGGTTTTTTGCACAACTGAAAAAAATACCAACCTCGGTATCTACCTCGATCGAGTTCGAGCCCGAGAATATTGGCAGAACTGAAATAAAGAACAACCTCCATATTAAATGTACAGAACTTTAACCTCTATTTTTGTAGCTTATTGAATTTTACGGTCGGGGTCGGCCATAACTTGGCCGAGAATTATGGAATCAAGAAAAATATGCAGCGGCGGCCTCCAGTAAGAGTCCACAAATTTTGGTGGCTTAATCGTCCTCGGCACGTAGTCATCCGGTAAAATCCAATATTCTACGTCTCCGACGGGGGTACACGGGTTCGGCGTAACGAAGTATGAGGGTTTCGATTCGGTACCATTTTGTTCTGCATTACAAAGCACAATTGAAAGACAATTACAGATGGAATATATATATATATATATATAATATACATCAACCTCGGGCGGGAAACATATTTTCTCGCTCGAGGTGGAGTTCAATACGCAGCCAAGCCCAAGGTAAGTTTGACAAACATTCCGTTTTGAAAACCTCTGACCCCGGTCGAGAAAGTTTAGTACCTCGCCCGAGGTTCATCAAAAACATGAATCTCGGCCGATAATCATATCACCTCGCTCGAGAATAACACGACAATTAGAACGCATAGTGCAGGAGGAATGAACATATGGGTTTATAAAATAACAATAGTTATTGTTACTCCGACTATAACAAAAATAAACCAAACGAGAATCAAATAAAAACACATGTGTTCAAATGTAGAATCAAGCAAGATTAACGCGCAAAAGGAGAAAGCATACAAAATAAAGAACTACTTCTAAAGAGAATATTCACAATACTTTTTAGATTTTTTAGGATTGTGCAGAGAGAATATTTACGATAAGGACATATGTTCTCTGGGATTAGTAATGACATGTACTGATTACTAAGGTACAGGAGGTCGGTGTGCATTAAATTGTTTTTGCCGTGCATTGAAGCTACCTCAGGCGGTAATTTTTCTACCTCGGCCGGGCATTATTCCAGCGGTCACCTGTTACATTTAATGACATTTTGGTCATTTCACCTGCTTCTGACACATCATCAATGTTAAAAGTGGGTCATTTGAGCCTAATTAAAGGGGTGGGTCATTTGAGCATTTCAAAAGTTTTTGGAGGTCATTTGAGCCAATTTCCCAGAAAACGACAGTGGGACGATGGGTTAAAAAACAAACCACACTTGGTCCTCTCTTCAAACCAAACACGTGTCTGCCATGCACATTTGGTCCATTGTTTGGTTTTAAGAAAAATTAGTGATGCCATGACGGTTCCGGTTTGCTGATGATCAAGTGACGGTCCAATATTGAAACACGTTTTTTTAATAAGTTTGAAAGCTTTATTTGAAAAAAAAAATTGTTAATGTGATTCGAGCAAGGTAAAAAAAAAAAATTCTATCAATTTCTTAGACATTCAGAATAGAATTAAACGTGGTTGGATTATCTCAATTGATGCATTAGGTCGACCAGGCCAACCATTTGCATCTTCAAACCCTCCATTTTTTGCTTTGATCTTTCACCATCAGCTTCTTCCATAACATCATATTTTTGTTCACTTTTTAACAAAAAATGATATTGGAGAATAATTGAAACATACTCTCAAATTTTAGGGGCATTCTACATAATTTAACCTATCATTTACTTAGTTATTTTCAAATAGAACCCAAACCTTACACAGATATTGAAGCACTACAGGGATTGGTGATTAGACCATTGTAGAACGTCAATCATAGAGTGCAGGAGGTAAGCGTGGTTTGAGAAACACTTCCAATGGAGTGGCTTTCACGTTCAGCAATCCAATTGATCCGGTCATATCCACGGCAGCGTCCTCCACTCGATATGTCAAAAGCATGAAGCAGTGCACCTAAAATAAGTTGTACCATTTGGAGTCCAAAAGACAATCCAGGGCATGCTCTTCTTCCTCCCCCGAAAGGGATCAACTCAAACTGCTGTCCATTCACATCAAAATCTCTGTGGGTCGTTAGAAACCTTTCTGGTTTGAACTCTAGTGGCTCTCCCCACACCCTGCCATCTCTGTGGATCTTCCACTGGTTTATGAACAGTCTTGTCCCCTTCTCGATATGGAACCCGTCGATGGCGAAATCCTCTGAGGTTTCTCGAAGGATAAGGCCTCCTGCTCCATACAATCGCATCGTCTCCTTCACTACGGCCTGCAAATATACTAGCTCACTCATGTCCGATTCCTTCAACTCTCTATCTCGGCCGATGTGGGCATCGACTTCTTCTTGCACTTTTATCAGTGCAGGGTGATTGTTCAGCAGCAATGAGAGCGCCCACGTCACAACCACAGTTGTTGTATCACTCCCTCCCAAAACCATGGTCTGTACATATAAAAGCAGAGTCGAAACAGATAATTTGTTATATCTCATCATTTTTTATTGAAAAGTTGAATACGTACCAAACATGTAGCCTTGATAATGGTATCGACATCGAAGCTATGAATCGAATCTGAAGCAACAACATTATCGGGGGTTTCCTCGAGAGTTGAAAGCATGACATCCATGAAGTCTTTATCTTCTTTGGATTTGCCGGAAGCTCTCTTCTTCTTGTGCTCCTCCAACCACTGTGTCAAGATATGGTCCAACTCTTTAGAAGTTCTCTTCATGGCCTTCACATGGCCGCCAACATCCAACCATCCTAAATACGGAACAGCATCACCCAGTATAAAAAGTCCCATTAAGCGTAAGAACTCCTTCATTGCTTTTTGGCACGCCCGCGCCTCTGCCTCTTCTACCATTGCTGTAGGCCCAAAGTACCTTTTACCAGCCACGACCCCGAGAATGAGGTTCATAGTCAAGTCCCCGACCCACTGCTTCATTTCCACCAAACCCTGGCCTTGCTTGTCTCTTCTTTCTTTCCAAATTTGATATAGCTCTTTTATGGCTTGGTTCACTTCCGACTCTCGAACGTCTCTCAAAAGCTCGAGTCTGCGACTGGAGAGAAGGTGGAGAGTGGTTGTTTTACGCATTTTGCGCCAGTATGAGTCGTAGGGTCCGAAAGCAAACACGGCATAGTTGTAGCCCAAGATTTGAGCGGCGAGAATTTTGGGGCGGAAGGAGACGGCGACGTCATGGGTGGTGAAGCACTGTTTCGCCGCCTCCCAGCTGTTTATCACGACGGCTTGGTGGATACCCAATTGGATGGAGAAGATTGGACCGTATTCATCAGCCAAAGCACCGAGCTTTACATGTGGCAGTTGAGGCCCTCCGAGGAGAGGGAGGTGCCCAATCAGAGGCCACCCGCCGGGGACTGAGGGCGGCTTTAGACCCTTTGACGCGGCGGCAGCGGTGAATGTTTTGTGTAGAAAACGTAAGAAATTGATGGCAATGACACCGCCCAGAAGAGTGGCAATCAGGTTGAGCCAATGGAATTGCGGACTTGGTTCCATCGATGAAATGGTGAAGAATTGATGGAGAAAAAACTAAAATTTGAAATTATGGAACAAGGCAAGGTTGCAGTTGTGGTTGTCATCAAATTGCACAGAATTTTTTGCCAGGTTGCGAAACATAGGGATGACTTCTTTGTCTCAAGTCTCTCGCCTTATCTCTTACCAAGGGGTGGTGTCAATTTTGGTTGATGGGAGGGAGATATATATATATATTCTTTTGTCTTAGTCTCTCTTTCTTCGAAATATCAAACAAGTAATTATTTGGATTTTTTTAGCGCTACACGTGGGACGAGCGATTGAATTTGGATTTTTTTAGTACTGCATGTGAGATGAGTGATTGAACTAAATTCACAACCTTTAGATGGAAAATAGTGTCAATTATTGTTGAATTAGACTAATTTTGACAAGTATTAAGATTTGTTACGTGAATACGATTTTGTTTAGAGGAGAAAAAAAAGACAAAAAGAAAAAAAAAACGCTTGAAAGCATTTTCCTCTCTTTGGTTTTTTATTTTTAATTTTTGAAAAATAAGTTCACTTTATAACTGTTTTCTTTTTTAAAAAACATTCCATTTTTTCTTTCTGATATTTCTATCCAAGAAATTTCTTTCTCACTCTAAATACTTTTCCAACTTGAATTTCTATCTCTAAAATATTTATCAACCTCTCTCTAAATCTCAACTTAGGTTTATTATTTTATCTATCCAAATTTTTTATCTCTATACATTTTTATTTATTTCATTTCTTTTTTAAAATATTATTCTTATTTTTCTCTCTCTAAAAAATTAATATTTTTCAAAATTTTTTCTCTCTCAAATTTCATTTTTTATAATTTTTTTATCTTTCTAATTTATTTTTTTCTATAGCAATGACTTTTCTCTATCTATTTTGTATTGTTTCAATTTTTCTTTATTATAACTTTATTTTTTTATTTATCTATTCTTCTTTAACAAATTTTATCTCGAATTTTTTTTAATGTCCAAGTGTTTTTTTCATTGTAATTTTTTTCTTTCTTCTTTTTATTTCTGTCTTTCCTCCCAACTTTACTCTTTTTCTCTAAAATTTTTCTATTTTTGTTTCAAATTTTCTCCAACTAAAATTTACTTTTTTCTATTTTTTATTTCTCTCTCTAAAATTTCTCTTTAAAAAGTTTTATTTTATCCGTCTATGCTTTTATTTTCATGTCTCCACATTAGCTAGTGATGAAGAAAATCTCTACGTAGGTTGGTTACAGCTCCAGGAGGGAATGCATGCATTTCCTTCCATTTCCCTCAACCCAGTCCTAATTTGATTTTTTAAATAATTAATATATATTATATTAACTATTTTACTAAATTAGAAATAAAATATTAAATATTTTTAAAACTAATTATTTATACTTGTAAATAATAATTATTTTTACACCTCAATTCCTTGAATTGGAAGATGATGTGGAGATGAGCACTAAAGGTTTCTAGATGAAGGATTCCCAACTCTCACTCCACATTGGTGTGATCTTTATTTTATATCATTTTTCTCTCTCCAGCATCTCTCTTCTCTTAACTTTTTTTTTTCTAAAATTGAAAATCAAAATAGTTATAAAAAAAAATTTGTTTTATATTTTTTTAAAACAAAAAACAAAAAATAGTTATTGTTTTTTATGGTTTTGTATTTTAAAAACATGACTAAAATCACAAATAAAATCTAAAAAAATAAAAAGAGAAATCGTTATTTATTCACCGTATAAATTTATCGTTATTCAATTTTAACATTAATTCATCAGCCCAAGTTGAAAATTCTTAAAAGCATAGGAGCATGTTTGGCATGTAATTGAATCATTTATTGAATTGACATATTTATTTTTTAAAATTGTTTTTAGATTATGTCATTCAGGTGGTTCACATTCTGAAACAATATTTTTAGATTTTAAATCTGAGATAAAGATCAAGTTGGCCGACCAGTCTAGACAAAAATTATGTGCTGTTTTAGGCTTTGGAAGTTGGAGTAGCCTGTAAATTTGCTTCCACTGTCTGAAGATTACGTTGTGTTTGGTTTGTGGTTTTTTCATGGTGATGAGATACGGAAATAGGCTTGGAATTGGAATGTCCATTCTCTAGTAGAATTTGAAATATATGAAGATTCACTGGCGTTGGAGAGAAAAATGAGGCTGCAGCATTCGATGTTAATAGTTGATCATAATAAAGAAAAATTAAATCCGAACACTATATAACATATTATACGACTACTAAGTAATACGTTTTCAAGAGAATGAAAAGCAAAATATTGAAATTCATAATACTTGAAGGTGATGAAAGTCAATCATAGAGTGCACCCAGGCAAGCACAACTTGACGAGTGTGTAGGATAGTATGACAACACGTGATACACTGAAGAGAAGCATTACAGGGACTGGTGATTAGGCCATAATAGAATATCAATCATAGAGAGCAAAAGGCAGGCGTGGTTTGATGAACACTTCCAATGGAGTGGCTTTCATGTTAGACAATCCAATTGATCCGGTCATATCCACGGCAGCGTCCTCCACTGTCGATATATCAAAAGCATGAAGCAGTGTACCCAAAATAAGTTGTACCATTTGGAGCCCAAAAGATATTCCAGAGCATGCCCTTCTTCCTCCCCCAAAAGGGATCAGCTCAAACTGCTGACCCTTCACATCAAAGTCTATGTGGGTCGTCAGAAACCTTTCTGGTTTGAACTCCAATGGCTCCCCCCACACCCTCTCATCTCTGTGGATCTTCCACAGGTTTATGAAAATCCATGTCCCTTTCTCGATCTGGAACCCATCGATGGCGAAATCCACTGAGGTTTCTCGAAGGATAAGGCCTACTGCTCCGTACAACCGCATCGTCTCCTTCACTACGGCCTGCAAATACACTAGCTCACTCATGTCCGATTCCTTCAACTCTCTTTCTCGGCCGATGTGGGCATCGAGTTCTTCTTGCACTTTTCTCAGTGCAGGACGATTGTTCAGTAGCAATGAGAGCGTCCACGTGACAACCACCACTGTTGTATCATTCCCTCCCAAAACCATGGTCTGCACATATATGTAAATAATGCAAATAGAGTCAGAACAGAGTCTTATATTTCTTGATTGAAAAGTTGAATACATACCAAACATGTAGCTTTGATAATGGTATCGACATCGAAGCTATGAATCGAATCTGAAACAACGGCATCGGGGGTTTCCTCTAGAGTTGAAAGCATGACATCCATGAAGTCTTTATCTTCTTTGGATCCGCCGGAAGCTCTGTCCTTCTTGTGCTCCTCCAACCACTGTGTCAAGATATGGTCCAATTCTTTAGAAGTTCTCTTCATGGCCTTCACATGGCCGCCAACATCCAACCATCCTAAATGCGGAGCTGCATCACCCAATGTAAAAAGTCCCATTAAGCGTAAAAACTCCTTCGTTGCTTTTTGGCACGCTCGCGCCTCGTCCTCTTCTACCATTGCTGCCGGCCCAAAGTACCTTTTACTGGCCACGACTCCAAGAATGAGGTTCATAGTCAATTCCCCGATCCACTGCTTCATTTCCACCAAACCCCGGCCCTGCCCGTCTCTTCTTTTTTTCCATATCTGGTATAGCTCTTTTATGGCTTGGCTCACTTCCGACTCTCGAACGTTTCTGAGGAGCTCGAGTCTACGATTGGATAGAAGGTGGACGTTGGTTGTTTTACGCATTTTGCGCCAGTAAGAGTTGTAGGGTCCGAAACCAAACATGGCGTAGTTGTAGCCCAAGATTTTGCAGCCGAGAGTTTTGGGGCGGGAGGAGATGGCAACGTCATGGGTGGTGAAGCATTCTTTCGCCGCCTCCCAGCTGTTGATCACGACGGCTTTGCGGATACCCAATTGGATGGAGAAGATTGGACCGTATTCATCTGCCAAAGCACTCAGCTTTATATGGGGCAGTTCAGGCCCTCCGAGGAGAGGAAGGTGCCCAATTAGAGGCCACCCGCCGGCCACTGTGGGCGGATTTAGACCCTTTGATGCAGCGGCGCCGGTGAATGTTTTGAGGAGAAAACGGAAGACATTGATGGCAATGACACCGGCGAGAAGGGTGGTAATCACGTTGAGCCAATTGAACTGCGGATTTGATTCCTTCGTCGAAGGAGGGGCGGAGGATTAATGAAGAAAGAAACTCAAATGAACGAATAAGGTAATGGATTGGCAATAGGCACAGAGGTGGTTGCAGTTGCAGTTGCAGTCTTAATCACTCATCAAATTGCAGTCAATTTTGTTGTCAGTTTGGAAACATGGGGATAACTTCTTAGTACTTTTTGGAATAGCATGCTTGTTTTTCTAAAAAATAGAAGGAAAAAAAACAAGTATTTTTTAACGTATTTAGAAAAAAACGCTCGTTTTTTTTATTTTCCTGATATTTGCATTGATTCGGTTTTTTTTTCCGTTTTTACTTTTTTTTTTTACAATCTTTTTCTTTTTGAAATTTGGATGCATTTATATTATATTATATATATATTTTTTGAACTTTGCAGATCTCTTAAAAATAGTTTTTGAACTAACAAAATTAATATTTTTTCAATACAAAATATCAAATGGAATTTAATTATCTGTCTTTCAAATAAATTTTGGACCCTACGAAATCAATTTATTTTTCTGAAAGTATAGTTTATTATATATTTATTGGATAAGTTGTTAATGACACGAAATCAATCTCTCCAAAACATTTTAAAGCAAATCTTATCATTATAAGAAAAAATTTAATTTAAATGGAGAAGACTAAAATATTATCTAAGTCGTAATTTTAAGGAGGACAATATTTACGATATTTAATTGTTTTCTATTTTTCTTGTTATTATTAAAACCATTTTAAGATTTTCATAATATTTGGTAAGTTTCAAGTCTTCTCAACTATTAAATTTTTTTTTCTTATAATTTTGATCCATCCAAGTTTTACTTTTTTATTATTTTTTTTAAAATTTGCCTAAATACATCCCTTAAAAATATATTTGAAAAAATCTAATATACAATTTATTTTAACGGCCCGTTTGTTTCCAAAAGATATCCCTTCTTAGTTCTTATGGTGTCAAATTTTGGTTGGTGGGAAGGTGATATAATTGTTTTTTTTTTTTTTCGTTTCCCTTTGTCTCTTGTTTAAAATATCAGACAAGCAAGAATTGAGATTTGTGATGGTCTATGTGTGAATGTGATTTTTTTTAGTGGAAAAAAAAAAGTCTATAACTCAAAATTTCTACTCATTTCTAACACGTTTAAATTTATCATCAGTTCATTTTAACATTGATTAATCTAAATTAAAATTTCTTATATGTTTGGTACGATAGATTTTTTTGTTTGGAGTATTTTAGATTTTAAATTTAAAACTTTAAAATGTGTAAATTACATTAAATAGAATAAAATTTTTGATAAATTTATTATTTTTGTAATAAACTCATTTTATTTTTGTTGAAATTTAAATATAAAACATAATATATATATATATAACTCATTGTAAAATAATTCATAACATTTATAGGAATGATTCAATACCTGAATTTCTTAAAATTGTCCACCTTTGATTGATGTTTGAGATCAAATAGTATCGTTGACCTCTACTTGTAAGCAACATTATCTTGGAACTCTTATAAATTGAGGTATTCAATGTGCTGCTCCACTGTGTAATAAGACACAACTAAATCTATAAAATTTAAAAGAATGAATCAAGAAGATATAAAAAAATGAATCAAGAAATGTGAAAAGAAGCAAACTAAGGGAGAGAACTAGATTATTGTAGGATAAAGGAGGAAGTAGGGAAGAACTCATATATATATATTTATATATACATGTAAGATGGATATAAGTTGAAAAACTTTTGAGATTCCAATACCTTTTGAACTTCATTAATTCTAATTAAAGTAAAATCATAAATTATTAAAAATAAATAAAAATAGCTCTTCATATTCATAACTTTCATTTTTTTATTAATCAAAGTTATTAAAAATTTGAAATGACATGCTTAGTAAATTAAAATTTGAGAAGTGGATCTAATGGTTAAAAAATGTTTTTTTCAAGATCCTCATTTTTTTAATATGGTATAGATATACAGATATAGATTATATATTACTTGTTTTAATTTTAACAAACATAAAATGTGTTTATAATATGAAGAAATATATTTATCAAAGTTTTTATCTAATTCTGTCTCCTAAAAATTTCAAATTATGAACGTGAAAACATACTCGTTTTCAGAATTTCTAGTATCACAAAATCCAAAAATAGTTTTCAAAAAGGAATCTTCAAAATCATGGCAAATGCATATTTATTGAATCTATTTAATTCGATGATCTAAAAAAAAAAGAGAATCTGAGTTTCCAACCAAACAGGTCCTAAATTTTTTAGAAAGAAATTTAGACAAGAAAATATCCTAGAGATGGAGAGATGTTATCGGGGAGAAATAGAACAAAAAAAAAAGTTAAACATCTGGAAGGAAAAAAAAAAGAGATTTTGAAAAACAGAAAAAAGAAAAAAATTGAATTACTTATCGAATAAGCTTTTCCAAAAATAAAAAATAAATGATCGTCAAACCACCTTTTAATTAACAACTAAAGATGTAGGTTATTTTCTTAATATTTCTTTTGATTATAATATATGAGGTGAAATTCGAAAGTAGGATCTTTGGATTGAATTACCATTTTTTTTTAGATTTAATGGATTGATTAACCTTAATTGACCTTAGTATCTTAATTAACACCTAAGAATGATTTCGTGCATCAGCATGATAGTCAAAAAAGTGGACAAATGTTTTTTCATAATAATTATTTCCAAAACTATACTAATATCATAATTACCTTTTTTTTCTAAAAAAAAATTAACATAATTACTTTTTAAAATAATCTAAAAACGCCAAAAAAAAAATCCGGGCGAAAGCATGAACTATATATAAATTGTAATCATAATCGGCGCCATGAATCAGAACGAAGGTGGGACAATGACTTTGAGGTTGAAGGAAGTGACGGACTCAGAATCGGAGACGAGAATCCCTCGTCCTCTTGATTTGGGAAGACGACACACATTGGATCTCGGAAATGGAAGCGAAATCGTCTACATGACCAAGTTCGTGCCCTCCGATAAGGCTTGGACCTGGTTCGATTTCCTCAATCAACGCATTCCCTGGACCAGGCCTACCATTCGCGTCTTCGGACGCTCCCTACTCCAGGTATTCCTCTTTCTCGATTCTCTTCTCTCTTTTCAGACGTTGTCAAATGTCATACTAATTAGAAATTGAAGATTTAACCAGTGACTGTTGGCTGTGTTGGATTATTTTACTGTTTGCCCGCCCTCTGCTTGAAATTAGGAAGCATTTTCACGCGATTGAGGTTGTCAGATTGAAGTTTTAATTTGCTAATGCAGCCTAGAGACACTTGCTACGTTGCGAGTCCAGGATTGACGACATTAACTTATAGTGGGTACAAACCACGTGCCTATACTTGGGATGATTTTCCTCCACTGAAGGAAATTTTGGACGCTGTAAGACTTTTCCTTTCAATCTTTCGCTATCAGGTTAATTTTGGCTTCTTTAGCTATAACTCCTCGTTACTAGTGGCTCCCCTGATTGTCTGAACTTTTCTCTGTCAAGGTCCACGAAGCTCTTCCTGGGAGTAGTTTTAATAGCTTACTCTTGAACAGGTATAAAGGTGGTAATGATTATGTGGGTTGGCATTCTGATGATGAGAAGCTGTATGCACTGAACCAGGAGATTGCTTCGGTATCGTTTGGATGTGAGCGAGATTTCTTGTTGAAAAAGAAGCCCAACAAGACTTCTCAACGTTTTTTGTTTATTTCCATCTGTTTTTGTTGTCTCTGTTCAGATTTTGAAAAGCCCTTTTCTCAAATCTTCAGTCTTTTGCTCAATTTCTTTCTCGCCATTTTAAAATTTATTTGATGTGGCTCCAGGAAGAAATGATGAGGAACCTCCAAGCAAGAAATCAAAGAAGAGCGGTGTGGCTGATACACACTCATTTGCTCTAAAGCACGGTTCACTTTTGGTTATGAAAGGCTACACTCAGCGGGATTGGATGCATTCGGTGCCTAAGCGCCTCAAGGCAGAGGCAACCCGCATTAACCTTACTTTCAGGCATGTTGTTGTTGATTGATTTTGAAGTTAATACAGGATCATCACAGAGAAATGTCCTTCATCCTCCCGAGTTGTTGTATTTTGGAGGGGGCCTCCGTTTGTTTTGGTATGTTTTTTCTCTGTTAATCGTGTATCTTTCTCTGATAGATCAATGTAAAGTGAACAATCTCAGTTTCAAACTGTCTCACCTGTGTTACATGTGTTCCACCTTCTCTCATTGCATTTTATATGCTTTTCCTGATTGCTTATTTTCAACAACACCCATGACCATCATAAATCAAATTCATCACCCAATGTGCCACTTTAACAGCTATAAATGGTACCTGAAATAGCTTAGATTTTGGACCTAGAAGCTTTGAATCTAAGTAACTATGTGGTTAATACTTCAGATTATGAAATCAAGTGAGAAACTAATAAATTTAGCCATGAAAAGGCTATATATTAAGAGGCTAACTTTATATTACGACCAGGAACATTTAAAGATACATCATATATATGCCTCTCAAATCTCAATTGCTCTAGTGGTTAATATCAACAAGACATTGGATGCCGCCATCATGAAACTGGGGTCGGTCCTTAGAGTTATATTGTTAGGGATCAGTATAACCAGATTTTTCCTTTCCACGATCTCCTCAATGAAGGAATAGGTACCATTGATGAAAGAAGTCAATCTCAAAAGTTGCCTTTGCTTCAATCACTACATTATTTCGAGTTCAGTTAGTGTTTCAGAAAGCCGGTTCCCATACTTGCGTAACTCAGATTCAATAGTTTTAACAGTCCCTTTGCTTTTTGATGAAGGCACCTGGAGATTAACATGAAAAGATCCCTTTCTCATTGGCTCAACAGGTTCAGTCATCGAGGTTTGCTGCTTGATGTAGTTGTATAGCCCTTGGTGAAAAGGGTGTTCCAAGGAATAGCAATTTTTGCTTCCATGATGAGCCGATGATCGGGAGGACACAGAGCTCTCCATTTTGCAGAAATGTGGGAGAGATGAATGATCCATTATCTACAAGAAATAAACAAAGTTAAAAAAGCATCATTATGGTCTTGGATTTAATAAACGATTGGGAATCACACTATTTGATTAATGTATTTTTCCCACTAGCATTTAATATTGCTCTTGCCATTCTTAATTTCCTATAGTAGCATATGTCCCTTGCTTTATACACTCGGTATGGGCATCCAACTTGATTCTATTCCCTTCTAAATGCATTTCTTTTGGAGAAATATTGGAAAACTAGATTCTAGCTTCCATTGTCTACCCAAATGTCAAAATTTTTATTTATAAAAAAACGTGAGTGGTCCATTTACAGTATAATCAAGCAGATCAAAAAAGAACTTTTCTGTTTGATAAGAGGTCCAGCCATTTTGTTGACAGACATTCTTTAAATAATGCAGGGCTTACCTTCAGCAGCTCATCTCTTCCACAGCCTGGTAAGACATGAACTTTTCTCCTTGTCCTTTCATGTAAGAGAGGTTTGACAACCTGTAATATCAAAAAGATTATATGACTTTGCACATCAGACAGGTGTTCAGGAAAAAGTTTCTGCAACACAAGGAACAAAATCGACCAAGATTACTCTCTTTAATTGCTTACCCTCCAACAGGATGAAAAGACATAAGGTACGTTCACAATGTAGTAAGCAGTTGTCCTCTCTGGGTAGTTCAAATCGTCAATGGTTGATAAAATTGTCAATAACTGCAAGAACACATAACAGGAGCAGCGATTAAACATTATGGAGATTCGCTAAGTCCTTGATTTGCTAGTCATTAATTGCATATTTAAGGTATCAAAACACATCCAAAATCCACTTCAAACCTTCTGTAGTTTATTATGGAGAATATGTCCTCACCATTATGGTCTTGCTTTTTACATAGTGGTCAGAAAGGAATTCCTCCAGACAACAGATTTTATAAACAAAACTAAATGCTTCGAATCTTTTCTCTTTCTTCTTCTTTACCTTTTCTCAAAATCGCACATGAGTCTAATTTGAAATTAAATTGTGTGGTAGGAATCCTCCATTAAACAAAAGAAAACAACTTTGTGATGTTATCTCGTGGATTTGTCAATAATTTAGACTAATCAAAACCACAAGAAGAAATGGAATCAGACTTTTATTGAAAAATTTAACCTGCACTGAACTATTGCGAGAAAATTGTGAAATTTTGACCAGGACAGGAGAGTACCTTTATGTGGCTGAGTGCCGACAGCTTCAAACCAGTCATATCTAAAACCTTCACACATGTGGTGATAGCCCGCCCATGCTTTTTCGATGCAGTAGGCTACAGGAAAAAATATACATGTTATTGGTACTGAAGAGAGGAGCCCCTGTTGAATTCCAAACTTCAGTAACTCACCAGAATAACGCGATCCCGATACTCGTTGATTTGTATGTGTGACTGCACATAGTGGTTCACCTGTGAAAAGATCAAAACACCGGTTGGTAAACTTGATTTCTCCCTGGTACTGAAAGTACATATTTTAAGAAACTAGGGTGCTATTCCTCGCATCCATATTGGCACAAGGGACAGATTATTTGTTTGGAACGTCAATGAATTGAACCCGAATACTTACATTTGCTTTGTCTAATGTGCTGAGTCCAACACCAATGGCAAAAATGGGGAGTCCCTGAAGTGAAACAGAACAAGTTTCAGGTCAGCATATGCAAATCTCTCTAGAACAAGGCAGTTCAGGATGAAAAGCACATGTTATATTGAGAGACAGATTGCTGGTTAAACAAACAGACATTGATGAACAATCCACACCTCTTTGGAGTAGCCCGAGAGCCCTACGAGCTGTGAATCCCGAACTTGCCTGTAGACATCGACAGGAGCTATAGGCTTCTGCAGACAGATAAAATGATGTCAACAAAGGACTTTGAAGCCTTCGCAGAGAACAAGCTGTACAAATACTTACCACTAGTATCTTGTCAATCTGATTTTCCACCCTCCATTTTAAACAGTCCACCAGCTGTAACACCAGAGAGGAATGTTTTGTCAGAGAAGGGGCTATCTTAGTAATGCATATGGCAGTATAAATGTTTACAGAAGTTGAACCAAAGACATGTTTCTAACCATTTTATGGGCTTTCCCAACATCGTACTCTCGTGCCTTGAGGAAACGCTCCAGTGTTTCAATTAAGAATCCTTGATGAACATTCTGCAAATAGATCATTCGATGTCATTTAATTGAAGCTGCCTAAAGGAATGATACAGAGGGAGACGGGGTGAAAGAAGAAGAAAGCTGGCGAACCTTAAAGGATTTCTTCAATGGCAGATCAACTGCAGTTTTCCAATTCAAAGACACAAAGATCAAATGAGTATTCGTGAATAAAGTTTTCAGAACTGAAATTGAAGTAAGGAAACAGAGTTGATCATCTGACCTTGATCCATCAGAGCAGTGAGCTTCTTGATCGCTTCCTGAGGATTGATACCCATTTCGTGGATCTCAAGAACAAAAAGGAAACTAATTACACCAAAGAGGAAATTCAATGCAACCCCCCAAAGTTTCTAACTTTCTACCTTCCTCTCTTTCTCTGTGTTTTTTCAGGATTCTAAACTCAAGCTTGAAACCAGCTCAAGTACGAGAATGACAATACCAGAACACAACAGTCTCAGAGTGTAGACAAGAAAGTGAGGCCAAGAAAGATCTCACAAGTCATACTCCGAGTCCCAAGAGGCGAGGCTGCTGTTTAAATACTAAAGGGGTCTAACAAAGACGCGCTTTTCTCTGTGACTCAATGGTGGTGAAACTGACGCAAAAGTCACTGTCTTTTTTCTCGATTGGGAAAAGCAGGAAAGTGTATGTCGGAATCTCAAAACGACCCATAAAAAAATGAAGCGAAGAAGAGGAAATTTTGAATGGGTTCTTCGTGTCGAAGGCGAAGTTGCTGGCTCTGGTTTGTTTTCCATTTTTCGCTTCCGTAATTCTTTTCCCAATATTCGCCACTGATAAATATAGTCCACAAACATTCAATCTCAGTCGTCCAACTGGTCGTTAGATGTACCCTTCACCATTTGATTACAGGTCGTTTTTTTCTTCTTTTTTGTTCTCTGTGGCCATTTAATTGGGGAAAGCAAAACAGTGGGAATTTTCTTTAAAAGTAAAAGTGCAAGGAAAATGCCTATTCCCTTTCTTGTTTGATCCTAAAGTCAGCAAAATGGAAAATTGATGGCTTTTGCTGACAGATATGTTGGAGAAAACTTCGTGGAGATGTTTGGGGAAATTTAAAGGGTTTGGGACTTCTGGATTCTTCAGTTAATTAGGGACGTTGATTCATGGGTTTAGTAAACTTTTCACTTTATGAAATTTGAGACTTGTTCATGATTTTTAGTAAACTTCAACTTTATGAAATTTGAGATTAAGAAAAAAGGTATAATTTGCTTTCTGAGTCGTATTAAGTAATAGATAATGAAGTTGTAGTCTATGTAATTTGTATCTAGATTTATGATATGACATGAGCTTTCAAATGGTAGCCTAAAGGTTTAGGGTTTAAGTCCGAACTTTCTGGTGAACTTAATATAAATTTTTTTTATGTTTTCTGAGTCTAGGTCTTGAGGTGAGCGTGGATGCCCTTGGGTGTAGTGGAACAAAGCTCAGGCTAGTAGTTATAAAAAATAAAAAAATGATTTATGATATGACATGAATTCAAATTTGTAGTTTTTGTAAGCAAACTTTAATTTAAAATACAGGCTCACTGTCTTAGGATATTTTATAATATTACTATTTTTTAAAATCATTTTAAAACTATCTAAATAAATAATGCTTCATAATTCTAGTTTAATCTTCAATAAATTGTATTTTAGAAAGAGAATATAGAAATATTTGAAAAAACGGTAGAGATGAAAAAAAAACTAAAATAATGTTTACTAATTAGGTTTGAACCCAACACTTTTGGTTGTCAAACCAACCACGTAACTACTCCACAAAAAAACAAATATTCTTTACATGTAAACAATTATGTACAAATATTAATTAAAGTACACATCACAGGATACTAGTTACAGTACCTATCATTCAAAGAGACAGAAATAATCATAGATAATTATGAGATAATATTCTTTTGAATGTGATAAGAAAGTAATAATGTATGTCATTTAATCTTTTATTAAGTGATTCATACTTATAAATAAATACAACCATCATTTTAA